AGGAACGAACAAAAACAGGTCAACGAAGTCGTGTTACATGGGGCGACTCTCCTTGCTTAGGGTGGATCCCGGTACCCACCCTCCGAATCGGAGGACGTCGGTGCCGAACGGAGGGTCGAGCGCCCGCTGGGCGGTGCCGAAGGAGCATCCACTCACCGACCCGCTCCATGTTTAATAGCTTCTTGTTACTACTAGTAAGGCACCTGTTACTACTAGTAAGGCACTTGTTTCTAATAGCTTCTTTGTATATAATCCCGGCTCTGAATTTCCGAAAATCAAAGGTGTGTGCTGCAGGTTTATATATAGTTAAACATCTTCCCCAGGGTTGAACTACTGTATAAAGTCATGATCACTAAAATTGCATAAGATGATTTTTTTGGGGGGGAGAGGATCACTGGCTGGTCAAAATTGAGATCACGTGTTTAGAGTGAACTGTGTTTTCCAAAAGAAACAGTTTCTTACAAACTTCTAGAAGAGAATTTGACTTTATAAGGAACCAGTTGCCAGTGTAAAATGTGGTTTTGATGTTATAGCACACGTTTTTTGCCTCAGATTGTATAGGGACCCACATGGACAACTTAAAAACGTATAATTATACAGCAAAGTGAGCTAGTACAAAAAAAATACAAAATTGATTTTATAAACACATTGATTTTATGAAGTAATAAGTGGACACTTCTAGAGAAAGTTTAACATATACTGTAGAGTGGTATATGTGTAAACGCATTCATTATATTTGTGTTTTTGATCCATTTGGCGTCGTTCCGATTTCTTTGTGGTGACTGTTTAAACAACAAATTACTATAAAATCACAGGGTAGACTAACTCTGGCACACAGTTTTTATAAATCTGTTGTGGCTGTACAAGCCTTTTTATGGACCTGTGCACCCCATTCTATAGTGACTTCATTTGGCTGTACTGTGAGCTAAGGATGTCAGATTTTTCCATAATTGTATTGATTTTAATTATAGTTTCAGTGTGTATATGTGTGTATGCACGCTGCTGAAAATTACATTCTATAGTGCAACTCTACCCCCCAAACCCCAACCATGCAGGTTAAGTGCTATAAAATTGGGGGGGACAAGTAACTATTATGTAAATTCCCACGGGGATTACATATATATGCCTACATTGGAGTGGTTTGAGGGGTCAATGTAGGCATATATGGCATACGGCATATATGGAGCGTCTGGGGTACTGTAGGGATGAAAAAGCCTTCCGACGTGTAACTGCTGGTAGATTCTTGGGTGTCGATCGAGTCGACCAGAGCTCCTGGAGGGGAGGCGACCAGAGCTTTCTCATCCATCAAAACATCCCCTTGAGATCCCCTGCCACCTTCTCAGGTTCGGTACGACAGGTCCCTGACAGGTCCCTTGCAGGTCCCTAACAGTGTCGAACGCATCAGCTTCTACCTGGAAAGGTGTATGAACAGATGTTTTTGTTGTGCGAAGGCCGTTTTTGGAATCCCCTGGTAGGTATGTGGATCCACAAAAGGTGGAAGTTCAAAAGGATCCCCAGCCTCCTGGGCCCCGGGCTGCTTGTCACGGCCTTGAGGATGCTGATGAGGACAGACATGTCAATGCTTTCCTGCACAAACGAAGGAGTTTCCTTCGTTGCAGCACGAGTTTCCAGATGTGAGAGATGGTTGCACTCCACACATGTCATGACCACCATGGGTTGAGAATGCTGAAGTTGGCCTGCAACGGAGTCCGACAACTGTTGTAGTATATACAATTAGTAATTAGTATAGCCAGTATAGCAACCCAGGTTTGATTATAATATATTTATATATATCACGTAAGACTATGATTCATGGAGACATCCTGAGACTACCGCAGAGATAGACGTAAATCAAGCGTAGGTCTGGTTTCATCCGGTTTCAAACAATATCGATGTAGCTTCTATCAATTCATTCATCATCCATTATTTACTAATTTGTATCCAATCCCCATCCTTCCTCTCTTCCTTTGGGTGATGTTCTCTCCAACCTTCCATCAAGGCGGCCGCAGAGGATCGCCAGCTCATGCTTGAGGCGGAAGCTCTGATGTTTCCGTTTGTTTTCTCCGGTGCAGCAGGGAGGTGAACGTTGAAAACCATCCAATACCAATGCTGAAGTACCATCGCTAGCGGGTTGGAGGCCATCCGAATTAGCTTGGAGGCCATCGCCAGCAGGGGTTGGAGGCCATCCAACCCAATCGCGATGCTGGAGTGTGTTTTTTTGAAACTCGACCCTATGGAACCGTTGGATCCACTCCACCCTTTGCAGGGAGGGAGGGTGTTCTGTTTTGTTTTGCGTGACATGTGTGACACTTTCATATAGGTTTGGAGGAACCCATTGTACCTTCTTCAGGAGGTGAGCATGCGATTTCGCTCGAGAAACAGATGTTTTGTTTCAGACAAGCGGCCCTCCTCAACTGAAATGGCAGCCTTCGTGTTTGGTCGATGGTTGAAGGCCATACATGCTCTGGATCTTTGCTACCAGTGAAGGGATGAAACCCCCAAGGAGTGCCAAGCTTTTTCAATACCCTATCGATCCATTTACCTTCTGAGAAGTTGATTGGAGACACTTCTGTGTGTGACTTTGGAGCATTTTTCGGAGAAGGTATATGATCCCAGGGAGACATGTCAGCTTGCATGTGCTGCAACCACCCCAAAAACTCCAGGAGGACCTCTTCCTGCCCTGTGTTTTGGGGGTTTCTCCCACTGGTCCCAACCCCACACAGGTGAAGGCGACTTCCTGTTCTCCATTCGGTTTCACCCTGTTTCACCGAAGGGTCAGGTCCAGCCGATCATGGTTTCGGGTCGATCCGACGTGTTTCACCAAATGACACGGGCGCATGTTTTGACGCAGCCCAAGTAGTCTCCAGGGCCAGGGTTGTTGTGTTTTTTCAAAACCTCATTTTCGTGTCTCCCTTACGCAAGCCTCCAAGCAAGCCATCAACCTGTTGCGCTGTAAAGACCAAGATCATTCCAGGACTTGGAATGCCAGCATCACCTGGAAGTTTGAGCGTGCATTGGAAGATTTTGCTGTATGGTCTTGAACCTCCGCTTCAACACGTTTTTCCATCGGTTTCCAGATAGCTCCGTGGTTTTTCCTGCAATTCTCCATATCGTCTCGTTTTTTTCTGTGCCCCAACAGGTGGAATCGTGTTCACAGGTACAAACCCTAAACCTCCTGGCCCACTTCAGAAAAGAAATCGGGACCGACCCCACTGATAACCACCCTCCCGCCCCAGTGTCAGGGAGGTGGGTGTTGTTTGTTTTTCTGTAATTATGACGCGTTGTTGTTGTCTTTTTTCCAGATACGTTTCAGATCGTTTCAGATACCTTTTGAGGTTGAACCTGTAACTGTACTTGGGAAGACGGATCCTACTAAAGTCATGATATTTTCAAGTGACCAGTGAGTTGAATCCAACCAGCCCGTGCGGTCTTTGTGCTCACCCCAACGCACCGTTCGCTCCCGCGAATGCACATGTTGCTCGGCTCCGGGTGGTTCGCAGCGATGGACCGATGCCGTCCGACATGGTTTGGACAGGACGAGGCCGCAGCCCGCCGGCTCGGATCGTACCCGAACGAACAAGTGGGACATGAGCGGACCTAGAGACGGACCTGACCCAAGTGACGATCTCGCCGAGGTGGCGCCGCGATGGACCGATCCCTAAGGGTGATCCCGGTACGAACAGGTCAACTGGAGGTAGGAAAATTTGAGAATCACTCCTACTTCACTGAAGTGACATGGGATGCGGGCTTGCTTGGGATGTGGTGAACATTCCCGACATGCCACCCAATCGTTTTGGCATCGCCTTCCACCTTTCGCCAAGATTGGAATAGAATGGAATAGATTCAGATGGCCAGGGGATTACCCCCGGTCGTGTGCCACCCAATGGTAAATTCTGGTAAATTGATATTTTCCACGGTACTTTGCATCGACCCTCGATTCTCGCAAGGATATCATTGTTTGAAATCACTCAGACTGGCTCACATGTCGCGTCGTGAGACATGCCTGGAGCTGGAGACGGGAAGACGACAGGGGGAACCCTGGCAACCTTGAAGACGTGGAGATACGTGGAGCTGGTAGAAGAACAGATTCCACTCTGGAACCATCTTGCAAACCCACTACCTTTGACTCACAACCTGGCTCTAGTCGCTAGAATCTTGGCTTTTGTACCCACAAACGAATTGTTTCGGAACATTCACATAACATGACACCAACAAAAACAGCTTCATCGGACTCCAGCGACCAGACTCCAGCGACCAGAGGAACGACCTGAGACGACCTGGCGAGTCGGCTCGACTGAAGCCCCTACCTCGACGACGGACCCAACGCCTGACGGACCGTGGCCGTGACCCAACGAACAACTGCTAGTGACTGTATACCCATTTTGAGGGGTCGACTCCAGGTAGGGCCGGACAGGTTCTTAGCCCAACAGATAGTAAGGTGACACCCTTTTTGGGGGTGAAGTCCGCCAGACGATTTTTAGGTGACCCGAAAAGGGACTTCCTTTATAATTATATACATGGCTCTGGGTCAAAGCTAGGATACCTGACCTGCCTGCCTGGGAGGTCGTTTGCTACATGCTGGACCAGGGCTCGAGGTGTTGACCCATCACCAAATGGGGCAAACATATAGTCTTTGGACTTCTAAAGGACCACCACCGATTTGCTCCATACTTTTGACGGTGCTTGCATGCTCCGGTTGGTTCCGTTTGGTTCTGATTTCACGTCAGGAGAGCCCATCAGCTGTGAGGCGCCAGGTATGAAACTGGAAGACTGGAAGTACTTTAGATATGAGGATACACGGATTTGATTACATGTTGTGTTTATTTATGTGTATTTACAATACACATATATGTAGTTATGAACATAGAATATATAAAACAGTTACTTGTACCAGCTTGCACACATGATCAGTAACATTCCCCCTTGCAACTCTGCTGCTTGCAATGCCTTAAGCTTTCGCCAGGCACGCACATTGAAAGGTGCCTGTGCCGCCAAAATGCATGCGAAGAACGGTGCTTTCTTCAGTGGCCTGGAGAATGGTTCTTTCCATCCATATATACCGGGACCCTCCAAAGTACTGTTTAGAACATGTCAGTTGGGTATAGTTGGTAATATGCTTGTATATGCTTGTCAAAATGAGCATAATAAAAGAAATACAAGCCCACAAAAGGACCAGTACAACGCTGGCGAGGACATGCGGTGGGTCACCAAATCTCATGGTGTTTTCCGTCCGCTTGCATCACAGCCGGACCAAGTTTTCAGGCCTCCGGATCTGAGACTTTCATGTTTTGGAGGGTCCAAGTACCTTCAAATGAATCTCTAGGGAGGTATGGTGGTTCTCTCAGGACCTTCCCAGGCCCTTCATTTCACGGTGACCGAGGAGATCTCGAAACGCTTGACCTTGAAGCTAAAGGCTCTAGCGCAGCAGAGCCGCTGGCCGCTCGGGCCGTGCGAAGTTGAACGTCACAATGGATCATGTCAAAAAAAAGGACTGAGAGGCCCTTCACAGAGGTACAAGGCAGTCAAAGGATATACATCCGACTTCACAGTCTTCACAGGTCACCAATTGATTGGGACCTGTTACCGCCCAAGAACCCTCGAACGAGGAGACCTGTTGGAGGATGCTGCTATAGGCTATCCCACGTAGCATCCTCCAATAGACGCTCGATCTTTGACCTCTCATAGCAGAGCTTTTGGAATTCACTTGAACCCGGGTTGGTGGGCAGAAGGATAGCCTCACTGTAGCTGGTTTGAAGGGAGTCGACCCTGCTTCGACGCGCTTCGGCTTCGGCACTATGCGGCGCTGTGCTTCGTGGGGCCGTGGCGTGCTTCAGGAAGGAAGCACTTCAACTCCTCCGTGCCTCTCCATCTGCAAACCTCTTCTCCCACAACGCGGCGATCAGCGCCTGTCGGAATGCGATGGTTTGGCATGGGTCGGATGCAGCGTTTCAGTGGATGTTCAGACCAGTATCCGATGTGATCGAGCAAGAATGACAAAATATTATGGTACCAATACATATACTGTACCAGTACCAACCAGGAATTTGGGGCATTTGTTCACTTGTTCCATTTTTGATTGATGCCAATGACATATAGATCTCCCGGGGTTTCGAGATTCCACCAATGAAGTTGTGGATCGTCCGAAGTGTGAACAGAACATGCCGCTAGCCCTCCGAAAGCATCTAGCTATAGTGAATTTATGTTAATTTTGGCGTGGTGGTGGAGCACGTCAGGTCGGAGCCTTTGTTGAGTACAAATCTATTACCTGAGGGCTCCAACTGCCTCCACAGAAGGTGCCCAGCCACTTGAATCTGGTGATTGAACGGTCGAAGTGGAGAGAAGAGCTGAGACTGACATACGGTGGAAGTGTTTCGACACGATGGGTTCTCGTCTGAATGACGATGGGTTCATTTACTCTTCATGAAACATGAAACAACTTGTTTGTTTTGGCCGTACGTGTTCGGGTAGTCCCTCAAAACTCATCAGAAAACTGTGCCAACTGCCTTTCTGATCATCCACACCTGCGTCCAAAAACATAAAAACACCAAAACCGGTCCAGGACTCCCTCCAGGACTCGCGTTGATCGTCCTTTTCTTCAGGATCTCCCTTGGTTTCCCAGTTTCGAGAGTTTCCTCACCGGTCGTGGGGAATCGACCTCCGTTTCGAAGGGGGCAGGGGTGAGTGCCCACGGTCGGACTGCTTGGAGCGGAACGGTCGGAGCTCGCCAGGTCAGAGGGCTCATCGCTGGGAGGCGAGCCTGCATCCGGGCAGTCAAGAGGGTGGAGGGTGTCAGTCATCCGCGAGTGTGTCGCTCAGAACATGGGCAACAAGTACCTGGCCGTACCGGGCCCTCCAAATACCCTTATAGAAATTGGCACATCACTGGAAGGATAAGCAGGTACGACTCGACTGTACCCATTTTCTAGGGTACTTTGAAGGATCTAGGTACATTCTCAGGAGGTGTTTGGACCCTCCAAGCAAAAGTGTCTCCAATAACCCTCTCAGAAGGTATATGTGGATCAGAGATGAAAGCTGGTTGGTTGGGAAGATGTGTTGTTTTTTTTCAAGGATGTGTTTCAGATCATTCTGATGAAGAGTTTCCCAGCTGATTCGTTCCAACTCGGTGGTGCACTTCACACTCGCACGCGGTGGTTCAAAAGACTTTGCTGCTTCCGGCAGTTCCATGAAGTTAGGTGCTGAACGAACCCGTTGAAGTCGGGGCGCCACAGGCCTGTCACATCACAGGCCAAGCCTTTTTGGGAACAACCACCATGGGTGCACAATTCACATGAATTCATTGTAACGTCATGTTGGCTAGATCATTGCTCATGCTATTAGGATGGAGGCCGTCGCTATTATGTAGGTTGGAGGCCAGTTGCTGTTGTTCTGGGGCGCTTTCAAGAGGATTGGTGTTCTTGTGTCGACCGGTGCCGGACCGATCTGGCACCGGACTCGGCGAAAAAGCCCGCCACCAACTCACCGCGCCCACCTCCGCCACAAGCCACAAATCCGCCGCCCACCGGCCAGTTGGGTCCGGCTGAGGCAGTTGTTTCACGAACTGGCAGAGATTCGGTCCCAGGTGGATTTGTTCAGCCCCTCGGAGCGGTCGCAACCGGCAGGATCGGCAGGAGCCGTTGACGACCCGGATCCAGATGAGCCGTTGACGACCCGGTTGGTATTAGGAGACACATGGTGATCAACTCTAAAAAACCCATGAGCCACAACCTTGCGAAACAGATGTGTGTAGTCAAGGTCATCACAAGCCAAGTACCTGACCAAGGTGGCAGACAAGGAAATAGAGCCATCAAATCCACTCGATGAACATAATCCCTTTCATCATTTTGATCAGTGGATCAACCAAACCAACTCAAGAGAGGTTCAGTGACCATAAATAGGACCCGTAACCTGGGGTACCTAGTCAAACTATGGTTCTTCAACCTTGGTTGGATCCCTGAACAAGCCGAGTCTTCCTGAATTGAACCGAGATTCTTCAACTCAACTCCACACACCTGGTGGTGTTCGTTGAACAAAAGCGAGGCAGAAACGGAGACTAGTGGTAATCTAAATCGGTGACATGTATGACTTGCGTCATGAGAGCATACTTTGAAGAGTGAGTGTGTCCAAAAGCAACCGAAAAGCAAACTGTTTAGTAAGTGCTTACATTTGTTTACTATCTCCCGTGCTAAATTCAGCACCCTGAGCCCCTGAGCCATCCCTGAGCCCCTTGAAAGTCACGGTCTTGGCCTCTGCCCTGCGCCACCTAGGGTCGTGGAAGCACTTCCCCGCTCAAGCCGGTGCTTTTTTCACCCTTCAGTGCACCAAGGGATGATAGGGGATTGTTTGGGCAGTGTTTTTTGGTACGGAGGCCTCAGGCCTCAGGTTTGATGTCAGCCTTCCGTTCGACCATCAATGGTTGACCTGGCTTTGTAGTGCAAAAGCCTGGTAGTCAAAAAATCGCAGTCGACTCACGTCAAACATCCAGGGATGCCGACTCCGGCGCTGGGAATCCAGTGACTATGGGGCAAAGTGAAGGTCCAAATCTAAATCGATACCTGGAGTCCTGGAGTCTCAAAGTACCTGGGAAAACGGGTGCAACAACCTATATATCTTTTCTAGGGTCATGTCACGGTACTTGAAGTCAGGTCCGAGTAGACTGTTTGGGGCTGGCAGCCTCCCTGTCTTCTGTTTCAAAAAACCGTCTCCCAGAAAACCCAAAGGGGCTCCCAGGTCACAGCCTGCTCAATGAATGGTGGGCCAGGAATCCTTGGGCGTGGTGTTCTCTAAGGTTATAACAGCACCTTGAGCTCTTTGTCATTTTCCTGGCAGAGGTCGTTGGACTTCTTCCACAGGCGGTCCGGAGAGGAAGTTGGAGGACCCAAAAGTGAAGTACCAGGACCATCCATATCGGGTGGGTGTCCAATTCAAATCCCTAAGTAGTGTAGGGTGCTCCATCGGAAATCCCTATTGGATGGTGCTGGTAGGATTCAGTCAAAAGAAAGACACGGAGATTGTGCTGCCTCCCTCAGCCCGAGACATTCCTTCTGGGGCCTCTCACCTCTCCCAATCTGATTTGGCTTCACCTTTGGATGGAGAGAATCTATCGGTCTGGACATGGGATATATATATAACTGCGAAGTGCAGATGAGGTTGAGGTAATCATCAAGCCTCCCGGCGACCAGGCTCTTGCTGGGCAGGGTTCTGCCGGATGTGGTGACCTTTAGCGCTGTGATGAGTTCTGTCCAAAGGGCGAGCTATTGGCACTTTGGCGATGTCAGAGACAGAGAGGTCAGTTTTCAGTAACTGCCGTTGGCTAAAATTGAGCTGACCCTTGAAACACAGCCATGTGTGTGTGTGCCTGTGCATGTGATGTGCGTGAAATAGATTTCAAATTCCCAAAGAGAAAACAATGTTCGAAGGAACTGCCTGGTACAAGTCTATACCATTTTGTTTTCGGTACGACTTGGAGGGTCCAGGTATGTTATACGTTATTTTGTGTGTTTTGTTTTGAGTATTCGGTCGTAGCTGTTGAACCACGCCTATTGTGACTTGTAGAACTGAACAAGCCGACAGTTGCATAAATTGTGCCGTATCTTTTTTTAAAGAAAATTGTTAGTATGGACCTTCAAAGGGCTCTTCAATGGGCATCCACAGGTGGTGTCGGGTAGTCAATTGGAGACCCCGACATGAAGGTACTGTAGAATGTACAAACGTGAGGTGACAACAGATGTTTACAGGACCAAGTTGTCCTGTATCAGACTAGACCCGAAGGGCTAGACCCGCAGAGCCTGCACGGACGTATAATAGAAACCTTTCCACTCACCAAGCACTAAGCTTCATGCCCCAGATCCAGTCTGGTTTTCCTCCGTGCGCAACATGACGAGTTGGGTTTTCCTGGCAGAGCCGCAGAGCGACTGAACAAGTAGCTCAAACATGTCGTTTAAATGCGAACCTATATCACTGTATATGTGAATTGTGTATGGTTGCAGGTCTCCAGGGTTTGGCACAACCTGCCATGTGGTTCACGAGCGGGACGCTGAGGACACTGGATGTTGCTTTGACATTGGAAGATGAAACACGGTGACAACATGCCATGTTTTTCTAGTTGTTGGTCCAACCCCCATGTCCGGACGTGGAGAACAATGAACATCTGGTTTATCCCTCAAATGAGTACTAACATGAGTAATTCTATAGATCCTGACCCTATCTCAACTTCTGGTAATGGTCTCAATGTTTCGTCCCCAAGAGTCTCGGAAAGTCAATGCCCTCATGCGCAGCGCCGATGCGCCTGGCGCGACGCGCGCTATGCGCCGCTTTGAGGCAGAGATCACTGGAGCTTTTTCAGCAGATGCTGCATGCGTCGGTGGTGCCCAACATCTACAGTTTCATGGCGACGTACCGACACCGTTCGCATCAGACAACCGAAGCGTTTTTGGAGCTTCATACGCCAGCACCACCCAGGTCGTCTGGTTTATAGACCCCCCTGGCCCGAAGATAACGGATTGTCCATACAATAACCATGCGAACTGGGTGGTGCAGGAATCTGAAGTTTCCTGGTGCAGGTAAGAGGCCTTGGTTTGCTGCGACTAAATCACCAGCTCATGAACAAAGAAACACTCAACTAACCCATGCATTGCCTCAACGGATCATAGAGGAAAACCCTGGACGCGAGGTAGGAAGTCAGACTGCTGGAAGATCATATTTAAAGAACAGCGTGGGTCCCAATGTGCCCAACAAACACGACCCTGTTGGATGTCACCTGTTGGAACATGTGAGACCTTATTGCAGGCAGGTCAGGGTCGCGCGTTGCGCGCAACTCCACGTGTCGCAACTGCGCGACACAACGCCACGTGAGGCTACAGCGGAGTCATCTCTGCATGTCAGAAGGGTTCGCAGTGGCCAGCCGCCCTCGACTTGCTGTTTTCAAGCTGCTGAGCGATGAAGAGGAGGTCAAGAGGATACGCCGGGGATGAGAAGTACTGGTAGTTGAGTGGCCCAAAATCGCTATCAAAGAGGCTTCTTCACTCACCGGGCTGGACTGCTCTATTACTAGGCAGGGCTGTACTCCTATATAGGACATCTATTGGCCTGGATGGGCACGGCATGTCTTGGTAGAAGACACCTTGTCCTTTTATTCCAAAGCAGGGCTGCGCCGGCCACTGGCGCCTACCTTATTGCTCGATCACAGCTAGATGTGGCCAACGTCCATCGCGAGAAAGGGTCTAAACCCCAGACACGACCCATGGGACTGCCATAGATGCCGCCCCATTGACCCCCAGGTCAACCACCCCAACTGATCGGCAGTCCTATGGCATATATGGCAGTCCCATGGAGTGGCTGGGAACAGGACATCAGAGTCAGTGACATCGAAATCGTTCATTTGTTTCGATTGGGATCTCAATAGACCTTCCAGACTCTTCAGAGGAGTCCAGTTCGAGATGTGGACCGTTCGTTGTCAGGTTTCAGGAACTGTCGCTTCACTCGGGTCATGAACAAACATGTCGTTGTTTAAATAGACTCCCAGGGCCTGTCTTTCGGTCGAAAGGCGCTGCGCCGATCAGACCGTGAGCGGTTGCGTTGTTCTCGTCGGCCCCCGGCCGCTGAGTCCAATGATCTTACCGGTTGGGTTTGTCTCGTTAACAGTAACTGCCGGTAAACGATGTACATCATATATGTATGAGATTTTATGACATATGATCACTGTTTTTGAACAAGCTCTCTACTGACCATCTCTGATCCACTGTTGCTGGTAATGGGGTACATCCAAATCTTACCCCAACACCGACCAATACGAGGCATCCACTTGTGCTTCCAAAGACTTGATTGATTCATTTGATTGGGCCCAAGCTCTGATCTTGGGACAACTTGCTGGCGCCTCTGGGCCTTGAGAGTTTCTCATGGCACCACCAAAATTATATATATACACTGGTTTCAGAGAGATGTCTTTTATATGAGGGGTCCATACGAACAATTGTGCAATTTGCTTTGAAACCACTGTAGGCTTCCTACCTTACAAGTGAGATAAGCCTTCAAATGATCCCAACAAGTCAGTGGCATTGCCAACTTGTATCTCGTGTTTTTTTTTGTACACTCAACACGAATCAAGTGGGATAAGGTGATCCCACCAAAAAGGAACACACGGCAACAGGTGGAAAACCTCTCTGACCAATGTGCTGCATGTTCGATCGCTATGTTCCAAGGGATGGTGCAAGCGGAAGTCATTCCAAACGTGGTGTGCTACAGTGCAGCGATGAGCTGTTTTGAGCCCTAGCTCATGGAGGGGCTATTGGGTATAGTGGTTGGAACTGGAATATGATCTTCGTTTGTCCGAACAAAAAACATCGATCAGAAGAAACACGATCCTATACGGTATATGTATTCCCCATTACTTCATAGTATGAAGGGATAACACTTTTGGCTCAAGTCTGTATGTGCGAAGAAGTCTGTGTGTTCTTCTGTTTCCTTTGCACATGTAAACCATTGTAAACCAGTTTGTTTTGAGACCATTGATCAGCGTTTCAATGAGATGGTGCATTTATCCCTGACCTTTAGGGCGGTGTGAGTATTTGTTCCGACCTCGTTGAGAGATCCGACACGACACGACACTCACCTAGCCGAAATGGCTTGCTTTTGGAAACAGCATCCATGGTCATTAATATGAAAACGGGGAGTGTATTGGGGGAGCACAGATGCTAGCAAATCCTGAAATTGCAAGTTCTTGTGTCCACAAGAAGCTTGTGGAACAAACAGTTCCCACCCGCCGGGGCTTTCATGTCGTGCTATTGGCGCCACATAATTGAAGAGGTCAACCGCTGTGTCGGGCTTCTCAATGCATTCACTTTTTAAAACCATTGGAGTCTCAGTTCGTACCGCGGAGAATGCGGCCCCAGTCATACACTTTTTTATTGGGTCATGTCCCATTGTCTAGGGTACGAATGAAGTCGGTCCAGGTACACATTGTGCTTGATAGTGGTCCGTAAATCAATTAGTAGATGGACTTTGCCAGGCAATGTAGACTCTTGAATCAATCAAAACAGATGAGTCATTGATTTAGTCATCGCACGGGGAGCACGGACCAAGCGATCGTGCCTCGGTCGTCGACTGTTTCTGTTGCCGACGTGTTTTGTTGAGCTTCTGTATGAGTCCCTAGGGGTCCAGTTGTACCTTCTCAGAAGGTGATCGGAGACGCTGTTGTGTAGCCTTCTGGGAAGCTACGACTGGATCCCTAGGCTGTTCGAACGCGGGGGTGTCGCGGTGCCGCCCGGAAAAGGGCCGTGCGATTCGTGGGAGGATCACCTCCAATTGCGAAGAAATCAGGACTACCTGGTACAGAAAATGGGACATGACCCTCTCAAAACATCGTAAAACAGTAAAACAGCAAAACAGGACTTGTGCCCATTTGGAGAAGGTTGAGGATCCAGTTCGAAGAGACTTGGAACTGAACAAATGCCAAGGAGCCTACTGGTGACTGGCAACAGGCACTGAGCTTGCTTCAAGCGATGCTCTCCGCACGAGTGCAGCCAAATGCTGCTGCTTGGCCAACATGCATCCTTTGCTTCGGACGTAGCCCTGAAACGTTGGAAAGTACGCCCGTTTGAGTCCATAGGACCATCCATATATGACCGAAGCCTTTGATAAATATTATGATTTGTTTTGGTGGCTGAAGAGGTTGGTGGATGTTGATTGTCCAGAGGTCACAAGAAGTGCAAGGTACTGATCGCAAGCATGCATTTATGGATATTGAAGATCTGATGGTTGGTCATCCAGCAATGCAGGTTTTTGGCCTGCCTGAAATGTGGACGGCACCCTCGAATTGTGGTCAAATGCCCTCATATTGACTCCCAGACACTCCATGGGACTGGCATATCTATGCCTACATTGGGCTGGTTTGTGGTGAATGTAGGCACATATTCCATGCATGGAGTGTCTGGGTATGTATAGATCAGCTGCTTAATGTCTGTGTGCGTGTTGTTTTATGTTTCCTCCCAGCACTTATTCCGGATTGTTGCCAGCTTGCGCCGATGTTTTGCAGATATTATCCATCAAAAGCAATCCATGAGTCCATGAGCAATGCACGCTCCGGCTTGACCCGTTTGAAAGTCGCAAGAAAGCCCTAGCTTCGGGCTCCATCCCCCCACATGAGAGCGATGAGAGACAGCCTCCCAGAAAAATCGAACCACCGATGTCAAGCACCGAACCGCCCAAAAACGGGGAGGTCGGAAAATCAGCCTAGTTCCACTATATATACAGTAATATATAGACATAGATCATATATATATATAGAAGAGCCGGGTTGAGAAGAGCGGGTTGACTAATTCAAGCTTCGCATGCGTCGACTTGGCTTTTTCGGGCGGCGCGCCCCAGGTGAGCTTCAGCGCCCTCATTAGCTCCTGCGAGAAATCGGCTCAGTGGCTCATGGCGCTCCAGGTGTTCCAACAGTCTCCGCAGCCAGACGCGCCTCGGTCGATCAGAGTAGGACCGGACCGTGGTGCGAAGAATCCTTTGAAGGCTGCCGTTCTGTTCATGCGGTTGCACAAGGAAGGATGATTTAGGGTGGGTTGGGACTGTGGATGGTTGTGCGCTAATGAATGCTAATGACGTCTGTGGCAAGTATCAAGAGTATCACTCCGCTCCTAAACGTGCAACATCACAAGACAGCATGGGTTCAGGTTGCTTTTCCTCGAGTCTCAAAGGAGCTACACAAGAGAGTCAAGCATCCGAGACGAGACATGTCGCGGCGTGTTGACAGGCGTTTGTGCACCCATTCAAGTCATCCCAAGTCTTGCCTCAAAATTAGCACGCAAAGGCGCCTCCTCATGCAACCCAGGAGGAGTTGCTGTATACTTGGATACCGCGCAGCAAGCATGTTTTTCACTCAACACAACACCACCTCCTCGTCACTGAGCAATCCATCCCAACATGTGCATTTTGTTCTGAAAGTATCGGAACATTCTTGGCTAGCGCAGCCGCAGAAGCACTTGCCCAGGGCCGCGTTTCATGATATTTCCTTGCCGGTCAGTGCCGAGCTCAAGGCTCACGCCAGGTGTGACGACCTGGCGATGCGACCAGGGAAGAGGTTTGCAACAACCGGGCCGTTCCACTCGGGGGTTGGTGCTGCAACTTGATAACAACAATGATCTACCTGGACCCGTTTGGTACCTGACCCAACATGGAAGCTGACCCGGGTCAGAAAAAACAAAAACATACAAAAACGAGGTACGACCAACTGGTACTTTGTCCCGCCCTGTGGGCCCTGGTGGAAAAACAAAAGAAGGATGACTGCGTGAGATTTACCGTAACAACAGGCCCATGAACTACAAACACTCAGAGGTAAATATTGCACCTGATTATACATTAAATGTTCAACCTGTGAGACCCTTTATTGGAGCTTCAAACTCGTCAAGAGATGCCGGTGTCTTAAGCGCTTCTTATCTGAGGTGTATGTCTACAGCGGCACCATCAGTTCGGTGGAGAAGACTGGACACTGGCGCTGGGCCCTGCATTTCTTCAGCTTGATGATGATTGGCTGAAAGACAGCGGATCCGGCGGATTTTTCTGTGTTTTCCGTGAGCAACTCCACGATCCGGCCACAATAGGGTTGCATGCATTCATGAAATCTCATGAAGACAGAGCTGGTGAAGATTGGAGAATTGCTGTCAGAAATCCTAGGCATGACCAAACTTTGACTCACTGTAATTTGGATCAAGCAAAGGAATGCCGAAATGGACCAGGTGCGACACTAGCATCTTCGAGCTTTGGTTCAAGCCAAGTTTGGGCTTACGCGTTCAAAGGCATGTCGGCTTTTTTCCGCTGGCCCCCAGAAGGGCACGTGGTCCTGACCTTTCGTCCGGACGACGAAGACCGCTGCACCGTGTCGGTTCACAAGACCTTCCTCCACTTCACCGCAGAAAGCTCGGCACCGCCCATACCGCCTCCGTGCAGCGGGCGAGCTGGGTCGGCGCCTCCGTGCACCGGGCGAGCCCGAGCGGCGCATGAAGGGAGAAGAAGCGAGGACGGCGTGGAAAACGCGCGCGGGACGCGTGCCACAGTTGTGGCGTTGCAGCTTGAAACCATGCTTCCAGTGACGAAGCCATCCGTGACTGCTCCAGATATGAGAGCAATGGGGACATTGGAATTGCATGCCGCAGGACGATGTGAGCCCTGCAGATTCTACTTTGGAGTGGCTAGGCTCAGTGTGGTGTTTTTGGTTTTTTTTGCCTCGGCCTTTTTGAGGGTCGTTTCTTGAACTCCATATAGACTCTATATAGACATCAGTTTTCCCGTGTTTGTTGAGGGGGAGGGGCAACAAAACTTATGGAAGTGGACCTTGTGATTCAGGCGGTCAGAGTTATATAGTAAGTCTATTGACTCTTGTAGCAGTGGCTAACCGTCAACCTTACTGTAAAGACATCAACAAAAACGGACAAAGCGACCAGGAGTTCCATGCTTGGGTGAAAAGAAAAGGCCCCCCAAAAAATAGTTTATGGGCACCACTCTCCAACGAGAAGATTTTTGGAACCACGGGAAGGTATGTCTCTCCAGATTCCAAGACTCTTGCACTCCTTCCCAGGAGAAAGTTCGATGTCACTTTGGCGACCAGTGCAGAAAGTGCCATTTCTGTACACCACAGGAGGCTAAGAGACGCTGGAGGAGCCTGCAATATGAGTCCAGGCGGTTGAAGCGAATGTGAGTCCAGCCCACCAAATCTGAGGTTTCTGGATGCCGGCGTGTCTCAACACCAGGGGTGAACGCCCCTTTTTTGGATGTGTTTGTTCAGTCTGAACAGTCGGGTATAGACTTGATAAGCTGACGAAGCCACTGGAATGGTGTGGGGAGAACTCTGGGACGCAACGCAAAAAGAACATCTCGGAACTCTTGGTGGAGGAATGCGCTAGTAGCTAGCGTTCAACGTTATTTTGCACTGTACAGTTGCGGGACGTGGGAGAAATCCGCGTGTCGAGAAGCCGTGGTTGTGATCCATACCCCTTTGAGTTGCCACATCGGCACATCTCTCAGAAAAAACACCCTGGCCTATAGCTGTGCTTGAGCAAAGTGTGTGTATGATGTTGCTTGAGATGTTGTGCAGGAGAGACTGTTTTTGATGTGCTTTTGACTGTGTGTGGTTGATGCAGGCAAATACCAGCTCAAAGAACCTTTGTGATGTGGCTGGGTGACAAATGTGTGCCGAGACTCTGCTTGTTCAGAGAGCGATCGACACCATATGGTGTTTGTGCTCCAAGCATCATGGGAAAAGTGGCCTGTTGGAAGATGACTTTCCTCTATCAGCAGATATGGGTACGGTGTAATATGGCGCCTCCCAGGCACCGTGGAAGAACAAACAACAAAGCAAAGACATACAACAACATATAAATTCAAAACATGGACAACATATTTGTCCACTTCCATGATTGTTGGAGGAAGGCCACGCCAGATTGGGCTTCGATCATTGGCTTCGATCATTGTCTGACCGATCCGTCGGGTGATCGATGCAGATCTTGATCTCATCCGGGGTCTTTTCTTTTCCGACGGGCAAACGAATACCCGTCACTTCTGCCAGAGTTCAAAAGGAAGTTGCTGAAAGCCGTTTGCACAGAGGTGGCGAATGAAAGTAGGCCTCGTCGGTCGCCTTCTATGGTGGACACATGACTGATCTATGGTGGATACATGAACTGGACGACGCTGTATTCTACGAAGCAGTGAGATGTTCTTATCCCTAGAGATCCAAGTTGTCTGTGAGCAAGTGATTCCGAAAGTAGCTTGTCAGCGGGTGACTGGAACAAAACCCTGTCAGCACTGTCTTCAAGCGACAACAAGTCCAAGACCGTGCTGGTGGGAAGTTAGACTTACCCCTGACCATTCTCAATCCAATCCCTGCCATTGCCCTCCATTTTTCAGGCCACTGCTGCTGTCGATTGCTATGACTTGCTGCAGGAACAGTGATAGGCCATATGATACTGTGACATCTGTCGATACAAAGGAAAGTTCATTATGGGAATCAGCCTATAGGCTGTAGGCCCTTGTAGGTTTTCCAGTGACATCCTGAATATGGGGCTAGCAAACCATATGATATGGAGTACGTTGAAGATTTCAATTGGTGATATATATATTTTTTCCATCGATCCGTGCCGGCCATGGGGCTTTTGCGGCAACGTGCTCTTAAAGGTGAGAACCCCTCTGCCCACTGTCCACTGTGAAGTGTTCTTTTGAAACAGTGCTTTGCAAGATGTCTATGCACAAGTGCTGCACGACGTTCAGAACTTCTTGGCTCAAATCATCTCAAAGCTGACCAGTGTCCTCGGCTTTGCTGGCTGGCTGGTTGCACTGATGCCCAGAGCAGCACCAATTGTTGAAGAGGAAATGCAGGGGGATGACTTGCACGTGACCAAGCCCATGAGGTTTCGAGTCACAGTCCCTCGTATTAACTACTTGTAATATGAGCTGTATTTGACTAGTCAAGATAGTAAAAATTCATGGACTGTGTTTCTACTGCAGGCACTTGGGCTTCACATCTTCAACTCTCTGCAGAAGTTTGGTGTCCGTCATGGGCCAGCCATTATGCAGTCACCTGATAGGGCCCTGGTAAACTGGTCAGATCGTGACAGAGAGGGAGAATGATATAGAGCAGAATTTTACACTCTTGAAGGAACTCATCCTGTCCTGCTGTGAGAAAACACTGACCAATTCCCTATTCAATGGGAAAGAGATTCCGCACCTTGCCGAGTTCGAGGCTGGTTTGCAACATGTACACACACTGCTGGTCAGACTTTGTTTATTTGCATGTTGCCACCCACACTAAAAACATATCATCCTGCAGGGTGCCCTCCTCTTGCTCTCACTACGATCGAACTTTCACACTGACTACCACGGGCGGAGGGGTGGAAAAGGCTACATCCGTGAATCTTGGTCCAAAATATTGATGGTGTTCTTTGCTTTCCTTCCTACGCTTCAACCTATATTTGATCTGACAGGTATGACAGAACTTTTCTGTACATGTGTATATATACAGATGCTAGTTGGACAATGACTGAGGATTGGGCGAACACTGAGGGGACACGACTGAGAAAATTACTGATGTATGTCATTGGGTTGACAAACCGCACTGCACAAAGCAGGAGTTTAAACATGTCAGGTCAATGCATCTGTTGTCTTTTTCTATGATGGCAATGCTAATGGACAACAAATGCATGTTTCAATCTTCCTTACTGGCCATGGGCTACCTGTGTGCAGGAGTGAGAAGGTCAAAGTCCTAAAGAACATAGTCCTGGAGTTCAGAAAGATTCGTGCGGAGCAGGTGAGGGTGTGTCCAATCTAATTCTTGCATATTGCTCGCGTGTGTATTGCAAAAGTGAATAAAGAGCTTGAAACCCACTAGCTGTGTTAAGGCTGCAAGCGCGAAGCTTGTATTGGCACCACCGGAGGAGGCAGTTGAGGCCCTGGCTAGTCTAACCTAGTGGACATGGTATGTGTGACGGACAGGTTTGTGTGAATGAGAGTGTGTGTGGATGCTGCAGGCTCAGCTAGCTGCTGGCTCATACATTTGTCCATTCATTTTGGCAGGATCTCATGGAGTTGGATGTGGACTACGATGATGAGCCGATCATCATTTCTGTGACACATGTAGCTCACTATAGTGATGTTGTACCTGGGGTGGCAGTTCCTGTACATGTGAAGTCAGAAGATTCTATGCCCCACTCTGAGGGTGTAGCAGCTACTTGTCCATGCATGTGCTGTCAAACATGTTTTTTCTGCACCTGCAAAGCCAATGACACAAGTTGGGGTATCCATCCAAGGTTGCCTCTGCTGTGGACACGATTGCACCTGCTGTGGAGGCTTTTGGGGTGTATGCTGTGTGATCAGGGTGTGTGGGTGTGTGTCTGTGGGGTCAAAAGCATGATTTTTTTGCCAGACTAGTGACTAGTGTGAATGATTAGTGCCATGGCTAGTGCCAACTGACAAGTCGAGAAACACATATGTACCCGAGTGGACAAAGGCCAAGTGGTTCTGAAATTATTTGTCCTGCCTGCAGGTGAATGACTCCCAAATGGATTGCGAGGACGAGGGAACTGCAGCAGTTGCTGAATCTCAGGTGTGGTGTGCTGGCTGGGTTTTGGTGCATCTAAACAAGCTTAAGTTTGCTCAAGACAAGAACCTTTCCATGCTAGGCAACGGCAGGCTTCATTCCATATTCTGAGCGCATACGAGAGTTTTTTTGGTAAGTATCCAGGTGCTACTGAGGCTGGAATTCATGAATGTGACTGACATTGCAAAAAAACTTGAAGATTCACACTCTAGACTAGGCCAGGATTTACCATATTGGAATATATATATATATATATATGTCCATCTCTGTTTTGGAGGCTGCGCATGAACGTTCATCTGGACATTGCTCCAAGTCTGCTGGGAGTGGGCCTGCCGTTCTACCGGACAACAACACCAAGGAGGAATTGATTTGTCCACTCACTGAAGTGGAGTTGAATTCGTTTCCTTGGAATCAAGACTCACAACTTGTTGATGAAC